AGGCGAATTCAACGTACTTTTCTATTTCAATTCGCAGGAACGCCGCGTGGAACTGAACACGGAAACGGCCAGGAACCAACCGGAGACAGAGCAGCGAGAGGCAGCAGCCGTTCTTACCCAAGAATATCTAGCTGACGTGCTGCCCCCTGTTCTGGAAGGACTCAAAGAGGCTGGGTACTTCATTGATGAAGCAAAAGTCGGTATGTCCTGATGCCTTGTATAATTACGCTAAACAGACATATTTTAATCTTACTGAACCAATATTGTTATCTATAATCAGTAATAATATTAAAAATTAGTGTGAAGATGAGGACTGGACATGGCATGACAATGAACTCCAAATTACCATAACAGGAGGAAAATTACGTCACCAGCTGAACGAGTTCGAATTTATCTAAAAGGTCTCTAGTCCATGTGGTATTTAGAAATAAATGCGACCAAACAACTTGTTTTTAACCATGAAAACATCAAAGAAAATTTTTATTTCGCAACCCTAAGATGACGTACTCCTGCTATTCGCAGTGAAGGAAGAATCAATTTCGGAGAATTTCGTATTAGATATGTTTTCTAAACATGGAGTCCGTAGTGTCTAGACTTTAATAAGTATCGCTTATTCATCACTCCTTTTAGGTCAGGGTCACTCCAGCAGGAAATGCATATTGTCACGTGTTGGGTATGTCACGCTACAAATAAATTCACGTAACGTTCGGATTCAACGATTATTTATTGAACTCATTCATCCACACTTTCTTAGAGTCAGGAATAGAGTTAATATCACTACTACTGCCTCTGCTTCAATACTTCTACTGCCTCTTGCGGCTTCGACATCTCAGCTGTTCTTGGGCGTGGATGGACCTCAACTGATTTCCAACTGTATCGTGTGGCGGCAAGGTTTCGACTAACTGGGCGAACGCCTTAGACCCTTTTTATATCCTCGGCCGCTGCTATGCAATGAACCCTCGTTGTAACCGTGGAGACTCACCGTTACAATTACAATACTGCTATTGTTACTTTCTGTTATTGCGTGTCCATGGAAGTAGCCCTTCCGGATTCCAATAATCATCATCATCATCATCATCATCATCATCATCATCAGTAATCTGTCAAGACGACAGGTCCACAGTCTCTTCCAAAACAATTCCTCCATTTAATGCGATCTAGAGCTTTCTCCTTCAAATGACAGTATCCTCTTCTGGCCCCAAGGTCATCCAGCATCTTCTTACGTCTTCTTCCTCGTCTTCTTGTCACTTCTATCCGCCCCTCTATCATTCCTTCGATAATTTCTTTTAGAAGGCATGTGACAATATAAACATATATATATATTTGAATCAAATACCCCGTGTGGAGGCGGGGTCGAATACCTCAACCGTGATCCTGCGAGTCGTAAGAGGCGACGAAAAGGGAAGTCACAAATCTGAGACAGTAAAATATGGTCATGAGTCCCAAGGGACTCGGACCCAAGAAAGACTGCGCTCGCAATGGCCAGCAGCATATACAAAAGACAGACCCGTCCTCTCGTCAAAGAGGGCGCCACACAAAATCAAGACCGTAACTGTCAAACGGTAATAAATATCTGGTCATGAGCCCCAGATGGGGCTCGAAACAAAGACTTACTGACTGGCTGACCGTCAGTCGCAATGTGACTTTAACTTTGACTTTGGAATCTAATTTATTGCACTCATATACAGTATATATAATGATTGCAATAAATTTGATTCCAATTTCAATATTTATTGCTTTTTATAATGAAGAAGGCCAGAGAAGGAATACTTAAGTGGAATAAACAATTTATGTACATAACTACTTAACTCCATGGTGCTGAGTCCTTGTGAGGCCACAAATCGCTCAACTGCTCAAGAATTTCCTAACATTTTAAGAAACCAGAAGGTTCATTATTCTGTTCACGGAAGCCCTGCACTGACCACTGCCTTGAACCAGTTAAATTCATTTCATAGCACCCCATTTTATTTCTCTGACATCCTACTGCCTACGTCTGGATCTTCTTATGAATTCATAAAATGCTTGCATCTCAGGACGGAGGGTGGGAAATGACTATTATTTGTTATTTAACGACGCTGCCGGTATCAATACTATATAGAGTCGACGATAGGATGATCGATAAATATGGAGCAGGATGTGGAATGAGAAACCGCAGAGAAAACCTACCCCAGTGCCACTTTCTGAACCACAAATGCCACATGAACTTACCTGGGATCGGACCCGAGTTGCCTGAAGTGGAACCAGAAAACGACAGAAACACTCTAACTTAAAGAAACCAGCAGAGCAAGCGATGATTTTGACTAACAGAGTACAGAAATATAAAAATCAATGAATTACCGTTTTGAGAAATTTCGTCTTCTGGGGTAAAACGGACGTGTTGAAAGTCAACTGACATTTCGGAGAAAAATGTCTCTTCCATTTCAAGGTTGAAGAGTAAGCTAGGGAGGAAACCAGCACAAAGCAATCATCAGAGCTCCTCTGAATCTTTTTTTTTTATTGCTAGTGGGGTGGGACTAAGTCCCTTGTACTGCGGCCACTTCTGGCCTATTGTACCAGCCCCAGATGATAGGTGAAGGTGATTGTGGAGCAGTTGGTGGAATGAAGATTGGCTGGGGAAGCCGAAGTACTCGGAGAAAACGTACCCCAGCGCCACTTTGTCCACCACAAATCCCACTTGACCAGACCCAGGATCGAACCCGGGCAGCCGCGGTGGAAAGCAAGCGACTAACCGCTTGAGCTATGGTGCGGCCCTCTTCCGAATCTTCGATTGACTTTTAGCGGTCTATATGGTGTTACATTCTGGGATACAGGAACTCTTCATAACCACCGATGTGAGAACTTCAAATCCTACAACTATTATCCTTCCAACCATGCAATAGCTTGTCAATATAAAACACAGTAGGTTAAAGAAAAGATCATTTCTAAATTAAGAGAACTCTTTCTGCATCACGTAGTTCTAATGCGTATTATTTATAAATCTGTATTGTGTTTGGAAACAGCAGGTAAAATTACTCAGAACATAAAGCATATTTTGAAATTTTCACACAGTTTATTACCTTAGGACATGGAGTTTTCCACAAGTGAAGTAACATTTTTAGATTGCTCTTATTTGATCCACGTGACAAATTCTAAAAAATGGAAACCCCAAACAACTGCCAATAGGTAAAATTATCCCTGTAACAGGCCGTGGAGGCCCATTAGGTGTTGAGAGGTTGAGGCTTCCACAGTTTCTAGATAATCGGCTCACAGACGGCGATAAGGTTGCCAGCCTTACGCGCAGGCCGTCCTTTACCTCCAGGAAGATTCCTGGTACTTATTTCTGTTAGAGGCTGAGTCGACCCCAGGGCCGCGGCTGGAAGGTATAGGTGAATTGAAAAAATCCACTTCATCTGGACTCGAACATGCAACATGCAGCATAGTGTCTCAATCAACTACGCTACCGCGGACCACGCAACTGCTAATAGTAATAATATTTGCTTCAAGTGGACTGGTTCTATATAGCTTAAAAACCCCAGTACTGGCTTCTAGTGAACATGGTAATGAACTTTCAGGTTCCGCAAAAGTCGGGGAATTTATAGAGTAGCTGGGCGAACATGAGCGTCTCAGAAAGAATTATCTTTCACGGAACTAGCTGGTTTGAATTTGAGTGCCATACTTAAGCAATACCGTATTTACGCATGTATAGGCCGCGTGCGTGTATAGGCCGCAGCACAATTTTCAGACAGAAATTATAGGAAAAATAATTTTCTTGGAATATTATTTCAGGAGTAGAACACCCTGTATTACTAATTATGAATATAATTTTTTTAAATGAAGTGTGATTTCGTATATTTCGAATATAAGCCGCACCCCAGTTTTCCTCTTGAATTTTTGGCAAAAAATATGCGGCCTATACATGCGTAAATACGGCATTTCAAGAGCATTCCTAAAGATATGTACATCTTATTACAACGTCACAAAAATGCACACACACAGACAGACAGAACTTCATAACGAGACTGGCGAACAAAATTCTTCTAGCGCTGGTAGTACAGACGTAACAATTTTCATCGCGGTAGAACCTTAATGCAAATAAAATGGCAGGATGAAGATAACTCATTATTAAAATTTCATTTCTGTAGCAAAATACTGCTAACCTTACACAGCATACATGAATTGGTTCTTCCAGATATCACGTGAAAAGAATAAAGAAAAAAAATCAGTTCTCAAAACTCATGTTACTTTCACGAAATGCCACAAGAGGAATTTGGTAGTTTATTTCAAGAATATTCTTTCTTTCTGAAAAGATTAGACTGTTAAAGGTACCCAAGATTAATTGATATTTAAATATTGACAGACCTCTTCCATGATTTTCTTTTTGTCCTTCTATGTATTGACTCTAATTGACTGAATCAATAACCTACCTACACGGAAAGAAACCGACACATGTAAAAAGCATTAAAGAACACTCTTGAAAATACTTTATTCAGGTTTCCATATATCATTTTAATGCGCATGCTCTATTTCAGGCACACAAGAAACTATTATGACTTTCTCCATTGAAGTCAACATGTCATAACAATTGTAAACGAGCAACCCATCCTCTCCTCAGAGAGGATGTTACATAAGGACTATAGCCGCCACTGTTCAGTCGGAAAATAAAAAGTACTGGTCGCGGGTTTTAAGGCCTTGCCGCCAAAACGAACTGTTTGGCGGTAAACCGCCGGTCGTGACGTAACTATAACTCCAACTAAAAATGTCGTTCCGTTTTTTTCCTTAGTATCTGACACTTTATGATTTAATAAAAACTATATGTCCCTCCAGGAAGAGACTTCTTCTATTCCTACTGCAGTACAGACGCAAATACCTACAGCAATTGTAAAGCAAGTTCCTTTTATTGTCGAGCCTCTAAATATGGCTCCCAAGGGCCGAAACATGTAAGACCACATATAGACTGCAAACTGCAGCCAACTGCCCATGCTAGTTTCTNTTCCTCGCTCGCAGATTCTTCTACCCTGAGGATGGAGGATATACGTAGGTTCACTCAAGATATACACGGCGCCACATCCTAGAAGACGGAATTCTTCATAGTCACCGCCGTGAAAACTTCAAATCTTACACATATTAAACTTTTTACACTGGATAGTCCGTGATGCCTATAGATGAAAGGCAAAGCTATCCCTGTAACAGGCCATGAAGGCCCATAGGGTTGTGAGATGCCGAGGCTCCCATATTTTGTCTAGATAATGGGCTCACAAATGATAATAAAGTTGTCATCCTTAAGAGCCGGCCCCATTTTACCCCTCCCCCCAGGAAGATACCAAGTACTCATTTCCGTTAGAGGCTGAGTCGAACCCAGGGCAATAGTGCGGCTGGAAGGATTAGGTAAATTGACTGTGATTCGAGCCCGCGAAATTCCGGCTTGGAACATAGTGCCTCAATCAACTACGTTACTGCGTGGCCCCTAGTTTGTGATTCCTACATTAAGCAAATTTGGATCTTTCATTACTAAATGTCAGCCGATGTCATCTGGAAGCCCTGTTCCTTGTCAACTTTTCCAAAATAAAATTAGTTGCTCATTCATTGTGAATACTGTCAGTTATGGGTTTGTAATTTTTTTTATTGCTAGTGGGGTGGGACAAAGTCCCTTGTACTGCGGCCACTTCTGGCCTATTGTACCAGCCCCAGATGATAGGTGAGGGTGATTGTGGAGCAATTGGTGGAATGAAGATTGGCAGGGGAAACCGAAGTATTCGGAGAAAACCTGCCCCGGCACCACTTTGTGGTGACAAATCCCACTTGACCAAACCCGGGATCGAACCCGGGCCGCCGCGGTGGGAAGCCAGCTACTAACCGCTTGAGCTATGGCACGGCCCTTCGTAAAATGATAATATTTCTGTTAATCTGCAGGAATACTGACGCCTTAAAAAAAGGCGTATTTCCCTAGCTAACCGGTTTGATAATATATATTTAATTATTTAATATCCAACTTCTCTTTTGTCCAAACACTTCAGGCCTTAATTTATATACTTAGCCCTTGTTTTGGCGTTAGATGAAGTTCACATTGTCCTTGTCACCTTTATATTGCACTAAATATATTTTCTCCATAAGCAGTTTCATTAGCCCCATTTCACTGCTTTCCTGTAATTTGGTCTCTTTGTATGATTTGGTACCTCTGTAAACAAACCGAGTTCAATCATGATCATTAAAATCGCGATTGCTGAAAAGTGCACAGTGATAGGTGAAATATTTTACTGCGCAGGCGTCGACTTTGTTTCTGCATTTTTCATTGCAGGTGCTGAGGAAGGCTTCATGCCGTGGCTAATATCCGAAGTGACGCAAGAAATTAACCAAATGGTTACTAGCAGGGAACTTCTCACAGGTTCGTTGTTTACAGATGGTAATTTTTGAGTAGCTGTTAATATTCCTCGTTTTCCTTAAATATAATATATTTTTTTATTGGAGAGAAGAATGCATACAGGGTTTTGGTGGGAATCCAGAAAGAAAGAGATCACTATGAAGACCTAGAAGTAGTTGGGGAAAATAATGTTAAAATATATCTTAGAGAAATAGGATGGTGTGGTACGGGCTGGACTCATTTGGCCCAGGCGAGAAATCAGTGGTGGGCTCTTGTGTGAACACGGCAACGAATCTTCGGGTTCAATAAAATTTTGAGGAAATCTTGAATAGCTAAGCGACTGATAGCTCCAGAAGAATCCGGCTTCATGGAG